CTCGACTTCTGCACGACTTGACATAAAATATTATAGAGCACTCGGTAATAAATTTCGAAATTTGTGCCCTTGTACTCTAATGTACTATTATAATTGATGTTTTTAGCTACCAATTTCACGCGACTCATTGACCAATCGAAATTGAGGATCAGCGATCAGGCAGTTTCGATATAAAACTTCTCGAAACGTTCTCCTTCACCGATTGGAATGGTACAAAGGGAGTGAAAGTTTTCACTCGAGTGATAAAGAGTTGAAAAATGAAATAGTGAATAAAGAAGGGGATAATGAGTCAGTCGTAGGTAAATGTAGATGGTTCTCCTTTTGCGGTAACGCGATTTTCATTTTAATTAAGATGAAATCCCCCTGGCATGGGAACCAAGAAGACTTGAAGTATAATCCAGGGACAACGTAATGAAGATTCGCGTTAATCGACTAAGGAACCGCCGTGGGTTGGGCTCTCTGTATTATAACCAGGGTCCATCAAGACAGTGGAGAGATGAATTTTTTAAAGCACATTTCATTGCAATTGTAATATGAATGCTATGAATTGAGAACAGTTCTGCACTGGGTCAAATACTATAAGTTCATTGGCTGATGAATTATTTAGATATTCCCTTAAGTAGTTAAGGGATAAAAGCAACGGTTTTACGGTCTCGATTTTTTACAAAGAAATAATCCATCTGAAATTTGATTATATCGCAACTTTGAGTTTTTAATTATCATTTTTAACCTCGGCATGGGATTTCCGCCTCGCCTGTTCAATCACTGAATTTGTCAATTAAAGTAGCTCTAAAAACATCATTTCTTCACGTTTCATACCATTCTACATCATTTCCAGGCAAAATTAGATAATGTTCAAAGTCCGACGAATACCATGATTCCATTAGGAAGCAAAAACCCCAAATACTCGAGTCTGGTTATGAGCAAAGAATGTTTTCATTGGGTTTGATCGACAAAAAAGAGATGACCTCAGCTCCTGAAGCATTCAACTCGCGCTATCACTATGAATACATCGATAACAATTTCCCATATGGACTGCTGCATTGGCACAATTCGTGCGCGCAGCCAGTGCTCGTTATCACTTTCAAACCGGCGTTTTTATTTTCACAATAACACGAATGAATAAGCGTGTCAGAAGGAAAATATTTTTTCACTCCTACGTGGCGTCGAAACAAAATGCATTTGATTTCCATACGAGATACGTGACAGCAATGACTGTTAAATCGTGTTACCATCAATCGGTATTCACTGTATGATATCTTGTAAGGCGTATGAGCTTACAGAGAGTGCTTATTTGCTCGGTTGCATTCCCCAGTCTGAGCGAGAGAAGATGTAATCGTAAATCCGTACGGGCATGAAAAGGAGTGGAGGGGACGAGGGTATGAGTAATACTGGCGCATCAAAATGCTCGACCGAACCATTCGCTGCACGTCGCGACATTAACCCCGACTGCATCGTGATGACCTTACCCTCGCAACGTATTAAGGTTTGAGGAGAAAGGGGCGCGCAAAAAATCATTTGCAGGGCGAGAGAACAATCCTTAAGGGGTCATAGAAGGCCACCGTTTCCGCGAAATTTTCAAACAAATTACCTGCTCAAAGTTACTAATATTTTGAAAACCTAAAGCCCACTGATCTTCTTCATCGCCTCCTGGAGATCTATGTGCTTCGATTTGTAAAAATATCGATAACTTTCGGCAAGAAATTGGCTCAAAAATTTGGAACATTAGCGGCATTCTGTTAAAACCCTTAAGGGGCCGTCGCGGTGAAGATCCGCAGTCGTCAGGCGTTTGAGAGACAATTGTTAAAGTTCATAATATAAGTTCCTCTCTAAAAAAAATTTACGATTTACACATTTTTCAGTGATACTTCATTCATGCCATCGAAAACATCATGAAACAAGTCAATTCGTGACAATTCACAATTTTTGCTTCGGAATGGAAGCATTGTATTCGTCAAATCTGAAATTTCAATTTTTCTTGTATGACAATGAGTAATTTTGGTCTCATGAGTTCGAATATGCTGTTTTTAGATCATGTCCGTACGTATGTCTGTGAGCTTTTTTTTTCAAATTTAGTTTTTCGACGCTCATTCAAAAAATAATTGTCGAAATCTTTTCAATTACGGCTTAAATTATTCGTTTGGATGTTATCTCAGTCGAATTCGAAGATAGTGGCGATCGCATCATTTGCTTTGAAATTATAGCCGTAAAAAGCATTTAATCGAGGTTTAATCATGGTTTAATCGGGATTTAGTCGAAGGTTAATCAGGGTTTAACCAAGATTTCGTCAAGGTTTAATCAGTGTTCAGTGGAACTTTAAACCAGTTTAATTTTAATTTAGTCGGCGTCTGTTAGATGTTTAACCAGGGCATATGGAGCTCATGTTAGACATTTGGGACATTTAGGGATCATCCATGGCTGGTATATCTTCATCCCCAATTTACCGTTCAGAAGCAAATTGCCAATTCATTATCAAAAAAGTTATACTGGTCTTAAGTCCAGTTTAAAGAAAACTATTCAGGAAAAAAATGAAAGTTCAACAATTTACTTACGACCGAGGAGACATCAACATTAATGTATCAGGAGCATGAACTCTTGTGATATCAAATTTTCCATTCATTTCGTTCTCACTCAATCTGTCTAATTGAAAATAAATTCAGTTCACTAAAAAATTTTATCTCAAATTGTCTTTAAAAAAAACTATTGAATTTTCCTGAGGCTAAACTTCAGGAAGGATCCCTACTAATCTGAAATTAATGACAGAAAACCGAACATGCACTTTTTTGTTTTAATTCGATTAATCTATTCGGAAGAAAATTGCTAATTTTTAGCAAAAAAACTATACTTAATTTACACTTGTGCAATGGGCCACTTGTTTTGTTCCTGTCAAAAGATCTAGAATATCATTTCTTACACGTTTGTTACCAACATCCTTCATTCCACATATTTTCTTCCCATTTTCAACAAAATTTTACATCCAAGCTGAACGACCGATCCGCGTATTGCTTCAGTTGAGTTAACAACCGTATTATTATCGGATCGGGGGAGAGATATGAGATTGTTTCATTTGAGAAAGGGAAATAAAAACGTAGTTGTATCACCGGTGTTTACGGTTTTATTGAATAGTGTCTTGGGGGCATGCGGGGGTTTAACAATCTGACTAGTGAAGCGGGTGAACAGCGACAAATAAAATTACTAGAATTTTACGTTGTCATGGTACCCCGACATCCATCGAAATAACCACTTTTCCCTAACGTCTTACAGTTACCGAGGTGTTATCCTTTTTCCCCTTTCTGCTCGAATTTATCCAACCCTCTTGACCTCCCACGATCTTAAGTCGATATGAGAGGGGGAAAAACGGCAACGGTCGTATGCCCCAGGGTGCTTCGAGCTCGTTTTGACGAGTTGAGTGTTACTCTGACTAGTTGTAAGGAGACGGAGCATTTCGATCTCCTTGATAAAGTGAATAACGCTTCGGGTTTTTCTCCTCGGCTTTGGGGAGACGCGATGGGAAGATATTTTTTTTACATTTCCTAATTTGATATGTTACAAAACATGAAGGAGACATGAAGGAAATATATGAATTTTTTTAATTAGAATTTTAATAAATATGATGATGACCATGTATGATCCAGAATATTATTAGAAAAAGAATTAGAATTCTTGGACAGTTGCCTAATAATTTTCAGGAGAGCATTAAATGCGATTTACGTGTCACGGGGCATGAAAAACCCCATTTTTTGCAACCCCGTTTTGCAGGTTCCTCGATACGAAAATTAATATACACACCTCGCCATGGAAAACAGATCACCGTCCCCCACGTGCAAGATTGCCTTCCGAGCCGAAGGCGAGGATGCCAAGCACGTGGGGGAGGGTGATATTTTTTCCAAGGCTCGGGCATGTAATGTACTATTAACACCTCACGTACGCGGTCGATGTCAGGCATCGACCCATGAAAATATGAATGACTCTCTTTAAAATTGATTATTTCGAAAACTATGGAATTTAACTCAACCAAATAAATAACAACGAAAAAAGGAATACTCTAGCTTCAATTACATATCGGTTTCAGAATCTTCCGTTGATTAAAAGTGATTACATTTTACTTGTATCGAGCGTACTCCATGCTTGGAAACAAAAGGGCCCCGTCCGTGAGGGGTTAAGGGGGAAAATCCTGAAATGTCAAATTTCACTGGAAATTGAATGCAATTTCAAAATTTTGAAGAGTAGGAAAACGAGAGTTCCCCAATTTTCTTGAATTTCTGGTCAAAACGTGAATATTTAGTACTAAACTATGCCGGATTTTCAATGATTGAAAATTCAAGCATATGTTGACCTCAATTTCCCTGATCTCCTAATTTTCAGGGAATAATTAAACTGAAATACATTTTCCATTAATTTCCCCAGAAAATCTTGATTTTTTAATAGATTTTCGAATTTTTTGAATTTCCGATAAGTGTCATGTAATCGCCAGTACAATTATCGATGGAGAAGATTAGCGTAAGTAATTAGTAATTCATCGTAAAAGTGTGATCAAAAAATTATTAAAAATACTACAAATTTTAGAGGGAAACTAGAACCTTTTCCTCTGTGTTGTTATCTCGTAATCCAATTTTGTATAATCCTCACAACTCAAATCTACCATTGAACACTGTATCGACCCCTAATTAGGTACGTTCCACTGGAAGCTTACTACCTCCAGAACGATTAGTGAGAAAGATCAAAAGAAAAATCCTGTTTACAACGCAATCGAGAAGTCCTTAAAACCGGTCACCCGCCCGTTCTTTCTTTCTCTCACAAATCCGCAACGACATCAGAATCTTCACAAATATTTACAGATAGCTTTGTCACCCCATCTCACCCCCCCCCCCCCCCCCCCC